AACATGTGTGCATTGCATTGTTGGAAAAACATAATATGAAGTTAAACTCACTATTAACAAACAAACAAACAATGTTGTCTAAATTTAGTACAATATTTTGGTTGTATTAAAACTTGTGACATGCAGAAGCTGCTTATAAAGGGATGTCAAACAAAGGTTTTAAAGGCACCAACTTTTGAGGTAAAACATTAAAAATATCTTGGGCACCAAGGCAGTCAGGTAAATTGTGAATTGTTATCCCTTTATCGCCTTGGTGCTTAGAATTTCAGCCATCATTCCCCACCCAAACATTTTTGTCATGAGTTTTGCAGAAGGCAGAATTTTCATCCACATGCATGCTATGCCATATTCGTGATAAAGTGATATTTGCACATGGCTGAAGTCTGTTTTCTGCAAACTGCATGATTGAAATGTCTGGTTAGTTCCATTTGTTTTATATCTGATGTTGGTCTGCATTTACAATGTCATGGCTTCCAATCTGTTCATTTCATTGATATGTATGAAATTGGGATTTCAAGAATAAAAATTTATTGGACTAAATGTTTTTTTTTGGTGTGGTTTATATTTCGTAACTACAGTACATAATGGAAACTTGTACAATCTCTGAATGTTATATTTATGCATAGATTTGTACTTGGTACATGTATTAAGAATATTGTAGGACATTAATTAATATCTTGTTTTGCAGATTCAGATTCAAAATGGACATCTGGTGGTCATTTTGTTTCAAGCGTGGCATACACCATATTCCTCACATATGCACACTTACTCTTTAGCTCTGCTGTCAAACAGAGCTGCTTATTTTACTGATTGTCTATTGGTGTACAGTGTCCACCTTCAGTCAGCGTCCACTCTCTGTTAGCGTCCACCATCCGTCAGCGTCCACCATCCGTCAGCGTCCACATTCAGTCAGCGTCCACTCTCTGTTAGCATCCACCATCTGTCAGCGTCCACATTCAGTCAGCGTCCACTCTCTGTTAGCATCCACCATCTGTCAGCGTCCACTCTCTGTTAGCGTCCACATTCAGTCAGCGTCCACTCTCTGACAGCGTCCACATTCAGTCAGCGTCCACTCTCTGTTAGCATCCACCATCTGTCAGCGTCCACTCTCTGTTAGCATCCACCATCTGTCAGCGTCCACTCTCTGTTAGCGTCCACATTCAGTCAGCGTCCACATTCAGTCAGCGTCCACTCTCTGTTAGCATCCACCATCTGTCAGCGTCCACCTTCAGCCAGCGTCCACTCTCTGTTAGCATCCATCATCTGTCAGCGTCCACTCTCTGTTAGCGTCCACATTCAGTCAGCGTCCACTCTCTGTTAGCGTCCACATTCAGTCAGCATCCACTCTCTGTTAGCATCCACCATCTGTCAGCGTCCACTCTCTGTTAGCGTCCACATTCAGTCAGCGTCCACTCTCTGTTAGCGTCCACATTCAGTCAGCATCCACTCTCTGTTCAGCGTCCACTCTCTGTCAGCGTCCACTCACTGTTAGCGTCCACATTCAGTCAGCGTCCACTCTCTGTTAGCGTCCACATTCAGTCAGCGTCCACTCTCTGTCAGCGTCCACTTTCTGTTAGCGTCCACATTCAGTCAGCGTCCACTCTCTGTTAGCGTCCACATTCA